TTCCTTCCATCCATCCATCCATCCATCCATCCATCCATCCATCCATCCATCCGAGAATACTTGATTAAGCTCACAGGGTCTGGGTATGAATTCTCGCCCCTCTGCTTCACCTGCTCCGTAATCATGAGACTTGCTTAAACATTCCATGGCTCGGGTTCCTTAACTGAAAATGGGGATATAAAACCATATACCACTTAGGGTGACAGACACACTCTTGATACTGTAAAAGTACTAAATGAAAGTTACTATTATTTCAACTACTAAGATGTGTCACCCTTATTACTCCATAGGAAATAGAATGCCTGTCACACAGCAGACTGTCAATACATATTTTTGAATGAATAAATATATGAATATGTGAATAAATTTCATAGGTTAGACTCTCATCTGAGATACAATATTTGAATACTGATGTTGGATATTCTCTGGAGAAAATGTGATTATTAATGTTTACTGGAATTTTTTTAGAGACGTCATTTTGGCCCAAAAATTATGAAAAAAATAATATAAAGTGCAGTTAAAATATATATATATATCTACATCCTAAAAGATAGGGATTTTTTAAATTGGTGCTTTGTATAATACAGACTGAAAAGCAGCTGAACACAGGGGTTTATTAATGTCTATGGAAATGACTGTCAAGTTTCAGAGAATGGGCATGGTTAAATGCCAAGCTTCAGCAGGGCAAGGTGGCTTCTTTTTTCGCCTGTTTTGCCAGTACCTAATGAAAAGTCTCACACATTCTACACCCCTAGATGCTGTCAGAAAAAGGAAAACCAAAATATCATTTTTCTCCATGTTACTTCTAAATGGAACGTTCGAATTTAAATTCATTTTATATATCTTTTGCTACTTGAAAATAAAAATGACAGTTCTCACTTTATGGAGGACTCGGGCTTGGAGCTACTTTTCCCAGGTGAGAAATGAAACAGAAAGAACCGGAGCCTTAACAATATGAAAGTGGTGATGTGTGAGCGTGTGTGTGTTTGTGTACACAAATGTGAATGTGTGTGTGGTGGGGAAGGGTGGTAAAAATGCACATATATCAGATTAAAATCCCTTAGGGATATGTGACCTAAACATTTTTAGAAGGAAGACGCTAGTCTGGCAGAAGTAATAACTGACCTTTTACTTACGATACTTTTAACAAAACGAATCTATCCTTGTACTGAATGTATACATATTTATCTAATGTTCAATTTCTAAAACTTCAGGGGAAACTTAAATCAAAATGAAATGTATTTTTATTGTACATCAAAATATTTACTTTTTCAGATCCGAATTTACCTTCCAAGTCCATACCCTCCAAGTTCCCATGACCATAAGCTTTCTTATCCCCACGTCAGACTTTATTCTCCCTTCCTTACTTGCAGGTCAGAATACAACACCCACCTTACCTAACCACATCCACTGAAAAAAGCAAGAGTAACAAAACAGCGCCCAACCTCAGATCCATAATGAGCTAAGGGTTTCTTATGCCTTAGAACAGTTTACAAAAATAAACAAACACGTGGTAGAAAAAACAATAAATGGATGTCAATCTATTTGGGCAGATTTATGATAGGAAATCAGTCACAGAAATAAAGGTCTGAGTTATAAATCAAACCCCATGCACACTTAATGGAATTTCTGTGGCTAGAGAAAACCTTGCAAAGATTATCCAAGAAAACATTACTGCAGGAAAACCTAAGTCTTCATTTTAAAATCAACATGCTAAAACGCATCCTTGGGAAAGGACTTTGGGGGTCAGTCACTAACCAGCATTTTGACGTTAATCTCTGGGAAAGATAACATCTTCTAGTTCTAAGATTGGAAGTGCAAACTGGACTTGCTCTTTGCAAGTAGGGGACAATCCTCCTGGGAGCACTGGAGGCATGGCCTGCCGGACACCACAGGCAAATTCCTGGGGCTGCCCCTCCCCTTCCCTCCTGGCCACTCCTCAGCAAAGGGAATCTCCTTGCCCACAGGGTGGACATTCTGCTCAGCATATCATTAGGGACCCAATGGCCATATTCAAGACTGGGCTATTTTACCATATTAAACAAAACCAAATCCTTAATGTACAGCAAAATGGGCATGCTGAATTGTATGCTAAGAGTTCTCACGTGAATGAATCAAAACTCCACAGGAGGGGGAAAAGTCTTAAGCTGTAGCATTTCTTGGTGTTAGGTCCCATTTTGTACAAGACTGAGGCCGTATTTATTATTTGCTAGGCATTTTTCACCACAGCATCTTCATCACCAAATCTCACCAGGGAGGAAAAAAAGAGCAGTTTTACCAAGCTCAGCATATATTTGGGGCTGAGGCCTTAGAGTGCCTGCATTTCCTCTAACTAATAACTTCTGACAGAAGAGAAAATAAAGAAGCAAATGGAAAATAGTCCATAATTAAAACATTCCGAATTGAGTATCAGATTCACGAATTCATTCTAGAGAAATAGAAGATGATGCAGCAGAATATAAAACAACCCCCTCATTTAGAGAACAAGTTGCACTTTTTCATAATATTAAATATTAAATTAATTTCAAATATTTGCTGCCACTGCTGAACGATGTATACTTTTACAAATTTTTTTTCTTTTTTTTTTAAGAAAGGAAGATTGTAATTACAACTGATGTTGAAGTTACAGCCTAGTTTCACCACTTAAGGATGACAGCAGGGTCCCCAGCTACCCAGGCACACATGTTCCTCTCGAGGCCTCTCTATAGAAATTCACCCATGTCTGACTCCAAAACCAAGTCCTGAATTTCATTTTGTCAATTCTGTTTAACATTATAATAGTTTGTATTTAATTCATTTCCCATGATAACATTAAGTAAACTCACAATTGTATTTATAAGCTATAGTGAGGTAGAGTTTATTGGCTGAATGTTGATGTCATTTAACAATTAGTTCTCACTGCCTGTTTCAATAAATACTTATACTAGCATCCTCTTCTCTGGCTCACAGTAAATGCCTTAAATCTCTGCCTTTCCAAATCAATGGGACACTTAGTAACATGAAGATACATGAGTTTCCTATACTGGGTATTTATATGTATTTTAACGCTGAGTTAACAAACAAACAAATAAACCAGCCTTTAATTCTAGGACATTTCAAATTTTCAAATGCTGAAACTAAGTGACAAACTATCTGGAGTTGTCTGCAAAATCCAAAGCCCCAGAGGTAAGTCACCTGCTTCATTATATCATCCTATTGATTTAACTGTGTTTAATTAATTTAAATTACTTTTATTCGATGGTTATAAATTCACATCCTGCCTACTCCAAGGGTGAGAGAGAGAGAAAGAGAAGATCAGCTAAAATGACAAAAAGACTTTGCTCTGATTTTCAAGAAACAGACACTTAACACCAGAGAATATTTCACCTGTGGCCATAGCTTACCTTAAAAGAATATAAAAAGCCATCATTAACTGTAAACTTAATTCATTTGCTTCATTCCTAGAATTGCTAACAAATAACAAAGTAAAGCTGATGGACTGTAACGCAGCAAACCTGCAATACATGGAGGTTCCATGAAACGGCAGCACAAAAGGCCACAACCTTCCTTCCAAAGGTACCCATATATCTTCACGGCCATCACATTAGAAACACATTTTGAGAATATCTCAGTTGCAGAAATGTTTACAGCACTCATACAGTTCAAGTCCAAATGACTGACAGACTAACATGCACACTTACATTTAAAACTTGCATTGAAAGAAAAACTTTAAAAATTTAGTAAAAATCTAGTTAGACCAGCACTTCAACTATACTCTATGGCGGCATGACCTTCACTGGTGTGGGCACTGAGAGATGACATTACGACACAGTTACGTCGTGACCACATGAGCAGCCCATGAAGAGCAGGTTCACAGCATCCTTTCTTTTTTATTTGAAATCAGCTCTGCATAATCAAAAGTGATGTTTGGCTTTACATTTAGAAACAGAGGCAATCTCTCAGTAGAGTTTTAATTGCCCCTCTACCAAAATTCACTCTAAAAACTCGAGTACAATAATAATAAATCTTTGTCTCATTTCAAAAATCCCTGATGGTATGACAGGCATCTCAGAGGAAAACATATGATCCCACTAAAAAAAAAAAAAAAAAAAAGCTGGGGTGTGGGGGGGTAAACCAATGCCATAAAACTGGTGACAAAATCCTGATAAATAATAACTATTTAATCTTTAGTTACAGGGAAGAGATTTCTGTTTTCTGTTCTTACTTAAAAATTTTTTTTTTTTACTAAATGCTATTTCTTCTTTTTTTTGGTAATGAACAAAGTGTCCAAAAACTATACTATACTCTTGTTTTACTGAGGTAGCATGGTGCAGTTTTGAACATTAACACTTCCAATGCCCTTCCCACTCACCTAGGGGTGCCTGGAAATTATACCACCTTTATTCCCTTGAATAAAGGCTCTCAGGACAATGTAGCTTCCAAGCTCAGAGCACTCAAGAGGAGGAATCTACAACCGAGCTAGTGTAGAGTTCTGCTGAGCTGTTTTTCCTCCGCTCTTTTCCCCAAGGGAGAAAAAGTGTAAAGGCTCTGGTTCAGGACAAATAGGGCATATTTTTGAAAGTCACCAGCGGTCAAGTCACTTTGCCTTTTGGGGAGATTCTTGCTTCCGATGCCAGTTGCTTTAGGCTAGGGAACCCTATTACACCTCCAACTAGGGCTGCCCACAATGTCCTATCATTTAGGACAGGCAATGCCAAGTACCTGTGAGAGGGGGCACTCCTTGGCCAAGGAACTCTGATTCATATCCTTCAGTAAGTCCTTCAGCGCGTTCCTGACGGTGGTGTGGGACCACTGTTCTGGAGGCAGGTCTTCTAGTTTGGGGCAACTATTGGAGACACAGATTAGAAAGGGGATTATGACCAGATCGCATCCTGCTGCAGAACGTTCCTTTAAGACAGACAGATTTCATTTTGCGCATCAAACAGATGCATCTGGAGATTGCTCTCGGTCTCCTGATTGTTCCGATTAGTTAATTACTTTATACAACACATCTGCTGTATCGATGCATGAATTATACATCAGCTGCCTGTGGTGGCTATTTTTTCACGTTACTTCTACCTTCCTGCTCTGATGTGCTTGGGAAGACAATTTAAGGTGTGCTGCTTTCTCACGAGCCATGGTGAAAAACGGGAACGTGGGAACACTTTCCTTTCAGGACTCTGTTCATACGAGTTAAAATGGTAAAAAATGTATGTATACATAAATGAAGAAGAGCTCAGCAATAGCGAATAAGGCATTCTTTCACAAAATGTACACAGATGGCACTGTTCATGATATGCAAAAATATTTTTCTCTTAAGTAAACTTTATGTAAAATGCCTTCTTGTAATGCATCATTTAATCCACTGCACATACAAAGTCTCGTTGTCTGATAACCTGCACAGATCGAGGCATTTGGGGGGAAGGTTGTTTTTTAATGACAGATTGAAGTTAGGAAAATAAAGCAGAAGGGGTAAAGTAACAAAATCAATTTGGGTTAACCTTTCTGAAACACAGAGTAAATCACAACTGAAGGGTGACCAGAGATGCTTTATTTCAGATGATCAGGTAAGTAGAATGTTCTGCCCTAGAGTTGCTGTCCTGACTCACCTGTGTAACTGAATTTTCAATGTGACCACATGATACACGTCTTGAAGCATATCTGCTACTGTAGCATCAGGGGCATCAGTCACATAAGACAGTGGGACTGGATTCCACTTTCCAACCTGGATTAGCCCTATTCCAGATAAAGAGAATATGTCACTAACTATTTTACCCTTCAGATAACATATCTAGTAGAAGGTTTGTTCTTTTTCTTTTTTAATTGCCCCCCACCACAAGCAATATTGTTATTTGTTTGAATGATTCCCTTCCCTCTAAAAGGCAGGTCAATGAAAATATTCACAGCTTAGCTTTCTAAATTGTGAAATTATGTAAATGACGGTGGGGTTGTTTATTATTTTGGAAATAAAACCCCATCAATAAAACCTAGGCAGAGGCCACATTTTCCTAACTTGCAGGAAGTTCTAATAAGACATAGCTGAACCAGTTCTAAATGGCTTTACGATTTAGATAAGATTCTCTACTGCAACGGGAATCAGCATTGAAAAATACTTTACAGCCCATAAAACCATCAGAAACAGAATAAAAGAAACAGAACTAGATATTCAGTCATAAATGCAAATTGACTCTCAACAGTCCATCTGCTCAAATACGTTCCTCACTTCCTTGTGGGTCCTCAGTGGAGCAGATTATTAAGGTCAATAAGCATACTAATGATTCAGCTGAAGTAATTTAAAAAAAAAAAATCTACCTCGACATTCCACATGAGCAAAATGTGTGTTAACTAAACCAAACTGAATTAAGCCAATTTTTTAAAGCCACAGTCTAGAAGGAACCCATGTAACACACAGGCTACAGTTTTTTGAATGGAAATATTCAGTTGCTTTCTCTGCAAGGTAAACAAAGGATGCCAAGCAATTTTTCCAACCCCACGTCTGCATTATTTACCTTTGGCCTGGGCAGCAGAGCTATGCGAATAACCCAGAGACAGCAAGGCCATTTCAATCAGCTGGTTGAAAAGCATATCCTTCCTCACCAACACAAATTCTGCATGTTCCTCCTTGCAATCGTACTCAATGGCATTTTCATAATGTTCCACCACGCAGAAAACCGGTAGCATGGTTCCTATCAAGGACACAGAGGAAAAAGAGACGCAAACCAACGATCTTCAGAAATACAGTCTGGGGGGAGGAAAAACGAAGCCGTGAAAATAAATCTTCAACACAGTGAGAGAAGGGGCAGCTGTGTTTCCAAGGCAGACAGGGCACAGAGATCCAGGCGCACACACACACACATACACCTGCCTTTATTTTTATTTTTTTAAGTTGTAAGAGAAATACTGAAACAGAATGTGAACTTGGCCCTGAGGTAACTTGGGCTCTGCTTTAATTTTAACAGTGCGTTTCCCCACATCAATTAATGCAGAACTACCTTTTTGATCAAATCATAAGGCGATGAGAGAGGAGCCAGGGTCTCGTCTGATCTGCTGTGAGTGGCACCCGGTGTGCAAACACAATTCGCTACACTTGTCCTCGAAAGAACCCACCTTTGGGCTTCCTACACACTTTTGTTAACATTAAACGTTCATTGTCTGTATCCAAACAAATTATATTTGATGATAAAATTATTAGCATTTTCCTCCTTTTTTAAGACCTTGACTTTAACGAGTCCATAGAAGAAACACAAAACTTAACCAAACTGATGTTGAAAATACACGATTTCAATATGTGCATACTGTAGATGAATGAGATTTTACTCTGATGGCTACTCCTTTAATCTATCTGACTAAGAAGATATCACAGTAACCACATGTCTTTAAAACGAACAATCTTTGCTACAGCAAATGGGATAAAAATTAGAGGAAAGGAAACTGGCCTCATCAGGGCATCTTAGGATACAGGAATCTGCATAGACTTGAGGTGTTCTCTCTTTATTTACTGTAATCCCACGTAATAACTCAGTAGCCAGATGATTAACAAACACAGGCCACACCACTGTTAGCAAAGAGGTTTCTAGAAACAGAAATCACGGAACGTGGTAGTACTCGAGGTGTTTACGCAGCGCACTGTCAGACTTCCAGAGATAAACGGAAAAGGGTTAAAAGCAGATGCATCTGAACTATACTGTGGCAAGCTGCCAGGAGGGTATCATCTTTAGCATAAATGATGACTAGGGTTACTTTAACAGGGCACCCAGGATCCCCAATTAGTCCTATCACATTAATGCCTCTATAAGCTCTGCCCTCTGGACTCACAGAATCCAACCAACTTCTGAAGGTGTCGAGTGCCTGCCAAGCACAGATAAAAATCAGGATTTCCTCCTGACACTAGGGATGCCCTTTAAAAACGCCCTCTTTGCTTGTTGCTGCTGAACAAAGCCGGCAGTAAAAGCAGCTACATTTTTCTACGTGTGCACCTACCCCACAGCTTCAGTGAACTGTTCACAAGAGATTCTAGCTCTGACAAATAAACCCCTTTAGGTTTACTTAGAAAGGCTCGCAGACTCATTTGGAGGGACCCAACAGGCTAGGGATGAAAAACAAGCTGCGGAGCTTGCCAATATTCATGTCACTCGTTCGGCTGTTTTATACCAGAGAGAGAACCCATCAGGGAGATCAGAAAGAGACTGGGGGAGACCACAGCAAAAACAGCAGTATGCAAACGGGTGATTTCTTCCTTGGCTGGAAGGTACTTTGGCAAAACCTTCTAAACAAATAAACAAAAACCTCCAACCCCTTTTCTTAAGGTGTGCTTTCTCAGCCCGGCCCCACTTTTTATCTAGCGCCTGTCAAACAGAAACCCTGCACTTGAAAAAGAAGATTAAAAAAAATACTACCACCACCACCAAAAGGCTGTAGGAATTTTGTTGCTTGAAGTAAGCAGAGAAACTTCTACAATTAAACTGCATTTTAAAAATGTCACTATGAATGCAATGCTTTAAAAAAAAAGCACTTGAGCAGGAAGTGAAATTACTGTACTTTGGTTTCTCCTCCCCCTGTCCTGAAGTCTTCCAAGAATTGGGTTACTAATACAACAAAAACATACACATTGATTTCTCCTCTTATAGAATGATACAGACCTGTTCTGCTCTTTGCTTCTCCTGAGACCTATGAAATAACTGTAGGTTTTTCAAACTGTTGAAATATATGAGAGTTGTTTTGGACTTTATTTAGAGGGACCCTGTAAGATCATTAAGGTGGCTACTGATAAAGCGACAACAGTAGCCTTTAATTCCCAATCTAGCTACTAAACCTTCCAGCAAACTGTCACATTGTCCTCCGGATGCTGGGAGTCAAGCTGAACAGGGGACTTCTCTGAACTGATTATTTGTGTAAGCGCTGGACGAGGCTTCCAACTCCACCAACTTCATAACCTTCCAGCATGGAAAGGGGAGTGCGCTGGTCACTGCTGACTGCTAAAAATACCCCATGATTTAAACCTGAAGGCAGTCTTAGGAGCTTTTGCTGAAGGTTTATGAGCCTGTGTAAACAGCACGTCTGCCATAAGGAGCAGTGAAGTCTGTAGAATCCTTGTCTAAAACTGTCCTGGCATTAAAGTTTGCTGTGCAAATATCACATAATACCAGAGACAGCTGAAATCTCCTATTTAGGAATTTATGGAACTTACATGTTTGCAGGCGTCAGAAAGTCTTTTTTATAGAGCCCCAGTGCTTCGCAGTACAATATTAATGCACTCTGTTTGAAAAAGCCGTAATAAATTATATTTTTAATGCTCTTACCCTGGCTTTCTTAAGATGCATACATTCTTGGCAAACAATCAATAAATAGGGTAATCATGAGGAGAGGCCAAAGAATTTGCTGAAGTGCTGTTTTTCCATTTTTAATAGATAAAGATCTAACAATACGGACTGCTGTGTCTGTTCATTTCAGGATCAATATATTCTTTGTTTTCGCCAAACCAAGGAAAAAATAAATGATTGTATGATAAATGTTATGCATCAAACACAATGAAATTCCTCTGCCTGCTAACTTTATCTACTTAATATTCTTGGTTGCTACAAGATGGCATTTTTATCCTCTGCTTTAGCAAATGTAAGGAAAATCTGAATCCTATACACAGTTATTCGGAGACAAATAAAGACCTTCTAAGGCCCACACATTATGCCCAGGATAGGCAATGATTTATGGAAACAACAGTGCTGAATGCAAAGTTATTCAACTGCATCAATGGAATATAAAATTGGTAGAAAGGAATCACACAGTTACATACCCTCTCCTTATAAACTTGCCTAGATCTGCCCTTCTTTTATCAAAAATACCCAATTACAGCAAAAGGGAGACACTAGAATCTTCAGGTTTTTCGCTACTAAATAATGAGTTTGCTCTGAAGAAAACAAACCACCAAAAAAACCCAACATCACAAAACTTTTACATCATATTGCAGAAGACTTCCATTATCTGTGAAACTGCCTTACAACCAGTAATCCTATGAAAAAGCTAGGTTGGTTCTCAAACAATGGAAATGTCTTATTCTTTTTTTTTTTTTTTTAGTATTTATTTATTTATTTAGCTGTGTCGGGTCTTAGTTGCAGCATGTGGGATCTAGCTCCCTGACCAGGGATCGAACCTGGGCCCCCTGCACTGGGAGCGTGAGTCTTAGCCACTGGACCACTAGGGAAGTCCCACATGTCTTCTTCTTACTCAGGGTTAGTTTCAGCAATTGCCACCTCTGTATGCTCTACTACAATAACATCTTCTCGATGGAAGCCTCGTGTAACTGCGACAATGACATTTAATTCAGTTCTTATTGTCCACAACATCCGAAGACTCCAGTCTATAGGGGAGTGAGATGCTCTGCTCAGGCACGGAGCCTACACCTTCAAACGTGGCTGAACCTACAGCCATAAATGTAACTAACTTCAGATCAGAAAGAGAATCATGGAAAAGAACGTAACAAAGAAGCCTTCTGCCTCTCCACCCGGACACCAAGTGGCCTTGGGTGAACACAGGGCTTGCAGCCTTCCAGGATTTGTATTGAAAGTATTTACCTTTCCTAAGGTTGCTTTTCATCAGATGGCCCGAGTGTTTTAAAGGCACTCCCTGCATTTTTGCACCTGTGCTCCCAAGCCTTCCTCTTCCTAGTGGGCTCCCGTTCTGCTCCAGGCGGGCAATCTTGGCTGGTGGACCCTTCGGATCGCTCACATTGTTAGACATTTCTGAATGTTCTTTCCCCTGAGTTGCTTCGTTCAAATGATCCATACTCAGTTACTCTCTAAAGATCACCTGCCAGAATTTAAAAAGAAAACATGTTATAATTGGATGGGGGTCTCCACATCTCTCTCTCTCTCTGTATATATAACACCATGTATATGTTTTATCCCTGGATGCTTCTCTCTTATTTGTAAAATTGCTTAGCTGGACATATAATATAATGCAGACGTTACTCTATTTCTAGATCACAGTATTATATTTCCATTCAAGGTAACAGAATAATTTGCGGAAATTGTACCAACACACATGAACGAAAAGGTAATCTGTCACCTACCAGCAAAACTAACTTGGGGAGGTGGGTGCGGGTGGAATGGGCTTACTTTTAGAACAAGAATTTACAAGTATAGCTAAAGAGAAAATAAATTGTATTTATGTAGTCCCAATTTTTAAAAATTAGAAACTTAATACAGAACACAATAACAACACTTTAATCAAAGATGGAAAGATGATCACAGTCCAAAATATTAGTTAGATCTGATGTCTTTGCTTCTATTTTTATATGCAGTTTAATTCTCATTAAGAAAATATATCTACATACGTATACACCACCTCAAAAGAAGGTAACAAACTTCTGCTTTTGAAACTCTCTATTGGCTTTACAGTTAATTTGTAGAAAAACTTTTCTACTGTCAAAGTATCAAGAGTTACATGACCTGTTTTAAAGATTTAGTCAAGTCTTGTCTCAAACATGTGACTGAATCATTCCACCCCTAAGCAAATGGATAGAAGTGGAGGATTTCTTCAAATAGCCCCGGTACTGAAGTGTTACAACTCACGTGTCTTAGGGTTAATATTTCGGGGTCCTTTAGTAATAGAATGCTGTTAACAATTTAAATAGCAAAAATTTTGAAAATATTTCATAATACACACATTAGATTGAAGCGCTAAACTCGCTTTGAAAAAAATCTTGATAATTTCGGTAAAACACAATTGCCAGTGTTCAAAAATAATCTCAGCATGCAAAGAAGTCAACATCTCAATTAACTTCAGAAAAAATTAACAGATAATTATTTTCAGTTGTATTATACATTGGACATCAATTTTCATACTGCTTATAATAAAGTAAGTAGTACATTATCAAACTCACTTTTAAAATACAGTTTTAACTAGCATTAATACGAACAGATGAGTAGAATTCTTTTATGAACTTTCATGGTACTTGAAGTACTGAGTTCACCGACACTAACAGAGAGGGGAGCATATATAGAAAAACCAGAGACAATATGAGAATTATCACTTTTCTCCAGCTGTCTGGTAATTTGACATATCTTTCCCTTAAAAAAAATATACATATACATATATACACACACACACACACACACTATACCGAAAAAGCTACTCAGATCCAGATTTGAAAGCGAGCTTGTGTTACTAGCGTGGCCTTTCTGTAAGCATTTATTTTCCCCCCTCTGTTTAACTGTAGATTACTTTGTCCATTATAATCAAGGAAAGAGGTGATGGGGAGGGGAGAGCAATGATAATCTGTAGGTTTAAAAGCAACCTTAAGAATGTCAATTGAAGAACTATAAAGTTAGAGAAATAATGGCTACTTATCCTTGTACTCCAGGGTGGTACACTGAGACCAAAGGTCTACCGTTGATCGAGGTCCCATCTGTTTTTGGTTATGAGGTTCATTAACAATAAATGTGCCTCTTTTAACCACTTTTTATCAAGATTACTCTTTTCCACTAATATTAAACTGTAGTCTAAAGCCAAAATTAGTGGTGATTATTAACTTATTCAAAACACGCTTTATAATGCTTCATATGGGTTACAGTACAGAGCTGCTTCTCCTGAAATTGGCTGCCTTACCCTAAAGCGGAAGATGAATTTTAAAACATATGACTTGAAAAGAAAATACTTAATCCATGGGGCAATTTAAGAGCAAAAAAAAAAAAAAAAAAAAAAAGAGGAGGGAGTAGATAAAAGCATCAAAGTTAATGCTACAAAACATATTAAGTAGTCATGAGACTTAACAGCGTTATAAACTGTAAAGTGTTAGATGATAATTTAGTTAATGTATTGACAATCAAAACGTCATATAGGTCATGCAAAATTGTCCTTCGAATGAATACCCACCTATAAGCAGCTATCAAACTCAGTCATCTTGTAAAAAGCTCTACATTATAAAGCAAAATTACATGCACATAAAACGCCCAATTTACTCATTTAAACTCTACGCCCAAGGCTAAAGTTCACCAAACCTGAGTTTGGAATTGCAAAGAGCAACCTCCACGGGGCCGCTGGACTGACAGCACGGGAACTAACTACAGTCTCACCAGATGCCAAGCTGAAGAGTTTCTTTTAAGTTACACATTTAAACAACCCATTTTACTGCAACGTCTGGCTGGCGCATTGAAAGCAGGCTACTTTCTCAAAACCCCATTTCCCTGTCCATAAACGAAGTCCACATACGATAATCAACGAAATAAACAGTGAACTCAGACACAGCAATTATTTCCTTTGAAAAGAGAAAGCCAAGCCCGAAATTCCGGTTTCAAGAACCTATTTTTTGCAGCGTGGGAGCCTTTTCAATGAGTTCCGTGCTGGATCGCCTCCCTCGGCCCACAGAACCTCAAAATCACATTTTAAGAGATTGTGCCCTTATCCATTCCATATGGCCAGCACGATCCAGGCCAAGCTTTCACTGTGACCTTTTAAAGAGACAAAGAAGCAAAGTACTATCTAGAAACAGAAACACTGCAGTTTTACTGAGTGAAATTAGCAAAACCGACCTGAAACTCACCACTTCAAAACTTGACAGCATATAAATAACAAAAACAAAGGAGGTTTCCTTTGCAGCCTGGGTTCTTGAAGAGAAGTTCAAGAATGATGTTTTCTACGTCCTTTTTTTTTTAGTTAAAAAAAAAAAAAAAAGCAGCAGACCTGAAGGCGACTTCCCCTGAAATTGTATTATTTTCTCTTCCCTTACCCCCGCCCCCCTAAGCGGGGGAAGGGCCGACAAACGTCTGGAAGAGTAGCCATGGGAGAGAGGGGTTAAAAAAAAAAAATCACAATTCGAAAAACAACATGTATGGTTTGTAAAACGTCTAACCTCAGAGAACGGGGTTTTCGATGGGGGAGGAGGGGAGAGTGGGAGGAGAGAGAAGATAAAATTGATCTGACAAGTGATTCGTTCGGGGGGGGGGGGTGGAAATCGTAAAAACAAAGCAAAACCCCTTAAGAGCAGTACACTGTGGCGGTGCTGGGGAGACGAGGTGGTGACTGGGGATTCTCTTAAAAAAAAAAAAAAAAAAATCACTGCGGACAAGGTCTCCAGAAAGGCAAGAAAGGTTCCCCTCGCTTCCCTCCCTCCCTCCTGCTCGCTGGGGTTCTTCGGTGTGAGGACAGAAAGTCTACTTCTGGCTGTCACTTGTAATCTTATTCTCCAGGCACCCCGGAGAACGCAGGGAGGGGAAGGCCGGCTCGCCTCCCCTCCGATCGCCCCCGCCCCTCCCCCTCCCCAACAATTGCGCCTGATAGTAACAAACCTTCAACTTTCTTCCCACAGCCTCGCGCCCCCGACCAGGGCATCTACCGGGGGGCCGCGAGGGTGGGGGGCAGGAGGTCGCGGAAAAAGCCCCGGCAAGGCATTAAAATGCCACTTTTGATTCGGCCCTCGCTGACGACAGCCCCGAGGACCCCCTCCCTGCCCATGGACGCGGGGCTGCGAGCGTCTGGGGAGCCGAGAGAGTGAGGCCGAGGAAGAGAGCTGGGGGGAGGGGAGGGGGGATCGGAAGGCACCCCAGCCGCCTCCGCCGCCACCGACTCCCCACCCCCTCCCCCCAAAAAGTCGCCGAGCTCTCACTCAGCCGGAGTCCGAGGTAAATAAACAACGAGCTCCACAATGGCTCTAGGACTTGGGGGAAAAGGAAGCCAGAAACCCCGACACAACTGAGCAGGAGTTTCCCGAAAGCGAAGGGGGGGTTGGGGGTGGGTGGGAGGCGCCCCCCCAGAGTCGCCTGGGCCCCCGGGCGGGCTAGAGGGCGGCCACGGCTAATGCGGTGGCGACGAGGCCGGCGGTCGCCGGGTGGCCCCGGGAGCGGCGCGCGCGCGGCGGTGTGTGTGCGTGCGGGCGGGCGCGGGTCCCCGGACGGGGCCGCTCCGCTCTCCCCCTCGCCGCCGGCGCTGCCCCCATCAAATTCGGAGCGGACTCCTCCCGGGCGCGGTGGCCGCCGCCGCGCCCCGCACGGCTCCGCGCGTCCGGCCGCGCTGCAGCCCTCCGCGCCGCTGCTGCCGCCGCCGCTGCTGCTGCTGCCGCCGCCGCCGCCGCTGTGGCTGCCTCTTCTTCCTCCTCCTCATTTTAATACACAGTCACCCCGCTCGCAGCCCCAGCCCCGAGCACGCAGCCTCCTCCGGGCCGCCCGCCGCCGCCGCCGCCGCCCCGAGCCCTTCCCCAGCGGGGCCGGCTCCGCCGCCGCCGCGTCCGGGGAGCGGGAGCGAGCGAGCGAACGAGTGGCGGCGGCGGTGGCGGCGGCGGCGGCGGCGGGGGAGGGGGCGGGAGAGGAGGAGGAAGGCGGCGCGGGGGGGGGCAGGGTGCACGGAGCAGGCGGAAAAGGGATGGGGATTAAAACCCGGGCTGGAGGGCCGGGATTGGGGGAGGGGGCGGGGGCGGCGAGTTAAAAAAGCAGCGAGACAAGTAACTAGTGAATGAGTGCGGGGAGGGGGGAGCGCACGATTTCCGGCCCCGGGCGCGCAAGAATTTGTAATGAGCTTGATTAGAGTGAGGCGGCCCGACGTTTATTACACACAATACCCAGAATAACAGGGCGCCGCGCGCGGGCCGGCGCCGGCCGCCGGGCGCGCGGGGAGGGCGCGCGGGGAGGAGGAGCCGGGGGGGTGGGGCGCTGCCCGGGCCGCGGCCGCTGGGCGCGCAGGCGGCGGGGGCAGGTGTGCGCGGGTGCGGGGCGGGGGGGAGGGACGGGGCGGGCGGGGGGGGTCGGGGGAGGAAAGTGATGGGGAGAAGAGGGGTAGGGCCGGGGGAAACTAACCACCCCACCCGCGCGCCACAAAAGCCACCGAAAGGAATACGTCGGGAGCGTAGCGGGCGGGCACCCGGGGGACTGGCGAGGCAGGGAGGGCGCACCGGCCCGCGGGAGAGCGGTCCGGGCGGGCAGGTGACGGGCGCCGAGCACCGAGGCAGGGGGACTTCAAGGAAGTGGCCGAAGGGGACCATCGGGAGGTGCAGCTCTCCGGAGAAGCGCGGAGGGTGCATAAGGCGTTTGCAGAGAAATAAAGGCCAGGGTTCCTGAAACGCTCTGGCGACTATTTATCCTCAAAGGCGGGGGAATCCTAAACTATTAAGAGACAGTGATCAAAAAAGATGAGTAAGAGCCTTTCTATACTAGTCAGAGGTAGATTCAAAACTCCGTCCCTTCTGAGCCAGGGAACACGTCGGAGGAAGAAGTACGTGGCCCACGGTGGCCGAGTGAAACAAAATTTGGGTCACTTGAAAGAGACCTGACCAGTTAGTTATTACAAAAGAACACATGCCACCATTCTTAATTTACCTCGGGTGAAAGACAAGAAAGTTGGGGTGGGTAAGAACCTCTGTTGTAGCAATAAATACTTCTGTAATCTACGGTGAATTACCCAGGTAGATAAATGGTCATTAGCACATAAGTATGATCCTCTTATTTAGATAATCTATTAAATCTAGTTCCTAAAAAAATGAAGAACATTACAGTCATGCCCAAAATAGAGAGGTTTTAGTACTAACATCTTAGAACCCTGAAGGCAGTTAATCATTAAAAAAAACAAAAATGTTATAAGAATCATTTTTCAGAATAGACTAGGAGGGAAAAGAGAAAAATCAGAGAAACATTTTGTTACACATTAAAAAAGCAACAAGTTAGCACAAGTACCGAGATAAGAGGGAAATATGCAAATGAAGCTCTTTAAAACTACCAATACACTCTTAGTGTGTACATGAGAAATCTAAGAAAAGCAGAAGGTAAAGCAGAAGATAAAGTATAGGAAATAATGGCCTCCCAGGGAGGACAAGTTTAGGAGAAACACAATGAAAATATATCACTCTTAATGGCACCCACGTTTCACTCACAAAACCAGAAAGGTTAGTGAAAATTGAGGAAGGCAACAGTGAAATCTTGGCGCATAGAAACCCAAGCCTAGGGCAAAAGAATGTGATAATAAAACACAAAACCCAGCATCCTAAACAAGAAAATAAACATAAGGCAATCGTTACTAAAAAGCTCAAATGATAACATATTTTCAAAAGTTGAAATGTGGGGAAGTATGGAGGCGGGTATTTTAATTAAAGTATAAGAAATACAGTCAGTAAGGAAATATATAAACATGGCAAAACACAGCACTGCCGTCAGAGTTGGTATTGTGGATGGATGGATGTAAACTTTTTTTTTTAATGTTTGATATTCAAAAAGAAAAACATGGATAACACTCAATTATCCTTAGAATGACAATGATTTTTGCAATATGGTAGGTCAAATTAGGAATTTTCAAGATGTGTATTTTAATAGTTGCTTCAAACTGGTGATGCCTGACATGTTCCCCTGAAACCTGCCTGATTTTCTTTCAGTAGGGACAGTGCATTCTAGCATCACAAGTGTACAAATTTACAAACAATAGCAAAATTTAAAAATAGAGAAAAAGTATAGTGGACTGCAAAAAATCATTTATCCATGCAAATGCAACTCAAGTTGAACGTTTAAAAAAAGAAAGAAAGAGAAGGAAGACAGCTGTTGGGCAAAACAAAATTTGAGCAAAGAGAAAAGGAAACTAAAAAAGGGTGACTGAAAATATCAATATTAAGACACATTGGCATAAAATATTGTAAATGATGGTTATCCCATTATTTACACAAATAAACAAGACAAAAAGTTTCCTGATTGCCTTAGCCTCCTAATGATGTGGGGATTCAAATATTAATCTTTAAATTTGAATAACACCTTCTATCCAGGAATTATAAGCTAATTCTCAAACACAAAACATAAAAATGTGTAGTAAGGACGGACGTGGCCTTGGAAAATGATAAACAGAATAAATGAGGATAAAGACATCTAATAATGACTTTACTATTTTTAAAAAAACAATATAGTACAATTACAAATCTGTTAATCACATATACATAACTAATTTTCCCCAAGCAATAATTTATTTAGGAACTATATAAGAAATGACATAAGTAAAATGGCACCGAGGTTTATGGCCTCCAAGTGATACAGTACACTGATGAACTTCCTATATATTATCTACCCCTTTAGAATACTCATTCTAAAATAAAGAAGAAGAAAAGAAAGGTAATTAGGAAAATACCACCTTTCCAGGCATATGTGAAAATAAACTATCATAATAGGGGGGCATCAATTTTATTCTACACAGGCATCTTAAATTTGGCAACAAAGATGCAAGAGAGTATTGAATAAAGTTAAACTTAATAAATCTAGCTATGAAAATAGAAAACCTCAAGAACATGAAATATTGCAAGTCAAATACATGAACTATTTAACTTGTGGGTGTACAGTTAAAACAGTGCATCAGTTTTTTATCACAGAAGAAGGCACTCGGACTGGCTACACAAAGGTAGCAGAGATAAAATATTTTAACAGATGACAAGATTTTTTTTTAAAGTTGAATAATAAAAGGACTACTGCATGTTTCACATGGCAACATATTAAGATAAATATACAGGCAGATATCCGAAAGCATTAAAACACATTCGGAGTTCTGAATAGCACATACATTTGTAATAAACAGAGAAAGTATTTAGAATTTGAACGTTTTTAAGATATGACAGCTCCGCCAGTGACTGTGTTAGCAAAGCAGTGCTTACCACCATTAGCACTTTCTAAGGACATGGTGGTTTTTTTTTTTTTTTTTCAAATTTTTAAATTCAAATACTGTTGGCTATCTCTCCACACTCTTAAAACAGCACATTTTACGTGGCATATTGCTCTTTTTGTCGTGTCAACTCTTTGTTTTTTGGCTTTAGCTGCAGGTGGTGTTTTCCATATATGAATTTCTGGGAATACGGTCTGTGTTGGCCATATAAGGATGTCTCTTTGAGCCATATGTTCTGCTGTCATGTGTCTCATTTTGTCTGTCTGGGATGTCAGGACTGATTTCCACATCGTTTCTTGAATGGACCAAATATAAATTTGTAAGAGCAGAGAGGAAAAAAGAACTGGGGCTGGAGCCCAAACAACTTTGTCAAAACATATATAGGAGAGGAAATGCAATATCCTGTAAACGTCTGCACCCTTCTTCTCACATCTTATCTGTGACTGACATCATCACAACTGCATAGCTTGGGGAGAGGATCTATTTGATCAAGTTCAGAAGTTTGCAGTGTGTGTGTGTGTGTGCGTGCGTGCGTGTGTGTATGCAGCTGAATCAGATAGACCCCGCATCTCTGGAGGTCATGGCATGGCACATGGTAGCTGCCCTACTCTGAGAGCTCTGGGTCCTGCAGTCAGCCTGACCTAGCCTTGAACTTGGGGAAGGGAAGCCGGCTCACGGCGTTTAGTGAATAAACAGAACTCTTGATTAAACTTTCTGACTCATTTTACAAGAAGGTCTGGTCCCCATTTTACACTCTCATAGCCTCTGGCAATTCTCCTTTGTCACAGTTATCATCAATGAACAATGTGGATAATTACTGGCTTAATAAATATCTCCCACACTAGACTGTAAACCCTATGAGAGCAGTGGCTGCGTCTTGCTCACTGCCCTATCACCAGGGATTTGTACAGCGTCCTTGCAATATTTACAGTCTGAATAAATAAATGAGAGCCAAACGCTCACAGTGTCACTTGCAACCAAATTCCACTGCTAATTGCAAGGACAATTCCTTTTAGAGATTGCGGAAGTGAGATGGAGTTAGCAGAGGGAAAAGTGGCTATATCATTGAAATGTGAATTAACTGAAATTACGTAACATTTACAATTTAGTTCCTCAGTCACATATCAAGTGTCCAATAGCCCCATGTGACTAGTGGCTATCCTATGGGACAGTGTAGATTACAGAACACTTCCACCATCGCACAAAGTTCTATCGGACAGCATTTATCTGGAGAACTTCTATCAAAGATGACTAAGTAAATCCAGGACCAGGCTTTCAGACATTCTAATCATGTCCAAATTGAAGTCATTTTCCATTTTTGTTTTTGTTTTTGTTTTGCGGTACGCGGGCCTCTCACTGCTGTGGCCTCTCCCGTTGTGGAGCACAGGCTCCGGACGCACAGGCTCAGCGGCCATGGCTCACGGGCCCAGCCGCTCCGCGGCATGTGGGATCTTGCCGGACCGGGGCACGAACCCGTGTCCCCTGCATCGGCAGGCGGACTCTCAACCACTGCGCCACCAGGGAAGCCCCATTTTCCATTCTAGAATGAGCCCATAGATCTGTAAGGTTGCATGGAATGAGAATTGGGTACCGCTGCACACAGATTTAAGACAACTTTCTAGACCTGTCTGTATGTGAAAGGGT